GGACCAACAGATGGTGTAATGGTTACGTTGCTGAATTCTCACTTAGCCAACTATGTTTCAAGTCCTGGACCTGGTGACTTAAACTCATGCTGAGGATGTATGTTGTGCATGCCCAAAATCCTGAGAGAGGAGAATGGAAGAGAAGGGACTGTGGCATGACCATCGCCACTAGGGGGGTGACTTCTCACTTTCTGTCTCTGTCTTTCCAGTGAACGCATGCACCCTATAGCAAAAATGTCTCTCTCTCTTAAAGAAAGAGAGAGAGACATAGAGAGAGAGAGCAAGCATGCAGAGGTCCAAATAGCCATTAGTTGATTGTCAAAGTTAACAAAAGAAGAATCTTAGAACCGGATTGACCTACTTGCTTTCTAAATTTTGGAATATGAGGAACCAGGTTATAAAGAACAATTTACCTGGAGCCAGTACAAGGTAGTGGGGAGAGGTAACCAGATGACAGTCCATGGAGAAACAGTTTTTCTTTGTCATAAATTGACAACAAGTACCATTGTCAAGTAAAAGCAGGAGAGCAATTAGACTCTATAACATAGCATGATGTTATACAAATGGAACCTTTTCAATTCTGGGTGCCAACAATCAGACAAATCTAAGTTGGAATTCAAACTTTAGCTAGAACACTTGAACATGAGCTTTAGGATCCCTTTAAATCCTCACATTCTAAGGATTCTCTCTGTGTTTACAATCTATGTGACAAGATAACTAAAAGACTGTTCCATACAAATTGAATGAGAAAGACTTCATTTAAGTGAAAGGAGACAAGGGGGTAATGAAGAGTGAAAATAAGTCTTTTGTTACATAATAATGAAGTCCTGAAAAATCATTTACATCACACTGCTATACGGAGGGAATTTCTGTCAGTTTTTTTTCTCTTTAAAAATACTTTTTTTTTAGACTTTTGCCACAGGGCATGTACGTTCCCTGAAGAGACATAGAGAGAGGGAAAGTAAGAAATCACCCTCAATAATGGCCACACCACAATCCCTTCTCCATTATCCTCTCAGGAGTTTGGGCATGCACACAAGCTTCTGGGTACAGGACTCAAACTGTGGAGTCAGTCATGTGTCATACAGTGCCTTAACCACCATGCCACCTGCTAGTCCATAAAAATACACATTTTTTTTCCCTTTTTTTTGTTCTTTTTTATTTTATTATTTTTATTTTATTTATTATTATTATTTATACATTTAATTGCTATACATCATTTAGGTTGTAAAGAGACTTTACTTATGGGACCAGCAGTTGGTGTAGTGGCTATGTCGCTGGACTCCCATGTAGTTGACTGTGGTTCAAGTCCTGGACCGAGTGGCTTAAACTCATGCTGGGCATGTGTGCATGCGTGCCCAAGATCCCAAGAGGAGAATGAAGGAGAAAGGATTGTGGTGTGGCCATCTCCCCTGGGGGGTGATTTCTCATTTTCTGTCTCTCTGTCTCCCTCTGTCTTTCTGGTGAGCGCATGCACCCTATAGCAAAAACCTCTAAAAAAAAAAAAAAAAAAAAAAAAAACAAAAAAGACTTTACCTAGTATGATATACACCTCAGTCCAACCCAGTTGAGAATACTATACACATCCTTATCAACAAATAATAAACCATATCTGTGTCCCACAAATGTCTTACCTCTCTATTTTTCCCCCCAAATTTCTTTCCCTGTGCCCTTCCTCTCTCTCATTCTCTTTCTACTTTGTCTCTAGTATCCACAACAATTTTTACTGCCTTTATGTCCTCCAGCCTTTCAATCTCTACCATAGAGTGTGCACAGTTGGTATATATTAAGTGGAGACATACAATGTCTCTCTTTCATAGCCTGACTTGCTTCACTCAGTAACAAATCTTCCATATTTGTCCACTTTCTATCAAATTCCAGGGCCTTGTTGTTCTTATGGCTGAGTAGTATGCCATGGAGTATGTGTGCCACATTTAAAATACATTTGTATATGATTGATATTGCATACACATGCAGGTGAGAAAGAGAGCACCCTCAATAAGTCTAGTCACCCCATGGTCTTCCATCCCCAGCCCTTCCGGCTCCTCTGAATTTTGCACACCTGTGCACACACCTAGTGCTTCCAGGCCAACTCAAAGATCTGAACCTATGGTCAGTTGCATGGCCTCCAGTACTGTAGTTTTGTATACCACAGACTGCACCACCCAGCCTAGGCCATAAAAAGGCATATTTGTTAGCCATTTCTCTAAAATAGATGGGATTACTCAAAGATACTATACTACTACAGTGTTTTTCTAATGTCTCCTCTCAGTCTTTTAACAAAAGAAGAAAATAAGAAGCCATAGTAGAGATATTCTTTCTTTTGCCTTAATCATATATGTACATGTACACATGCTAAAGCATACTGTGTCATAATGGAAAATGTGTTCTATACTACACATCAAGTTTTACAAGTTTGACATATTATTATACAATAGAGAAACTGGATGGAACACTTCTGGTGTAAAATTAGCCAAAGTGAATGAGGTCATAATTTTTTTTAGGAGACTCATCTGAGATGCATATGAAGTCTCAGCAGAAAGTACATTTCACTTAAGTGCTTGCCAGAGCACCAAACAGCCCTATTTCTTTTACACTCACTTTTCTCCTTTATTATTGGACTGCCTAAGAATAACACCTATTTTTACTCATTGCAAAATTATGTCTTGTTAGGATTATTTTAGAGAATAATGATAATCATATTTATACAGCAATAAATAAATATATTAAAAGGTCTCTGTTGGCTAACTTTTTGGTTTTTTTTGGAGAGGTTTTTGCTACAGGGCACGTGCGCTTGCCAGACAGACAGAGAGAGAGAGACAGAAAGCAAGAAATCACCCTCCAGGGGGGATGGTCACACTGCAATCCCTTCTTCTCCATTCTCCTTTCGGGATCTTGGGCATGCACAACACACGCCCGGCGTGAGTTTTAAGCCACCGGGTCCGGGACGCAAACTGCGGTCGACTACATGGGAGTCCAGTGACATAGCCATTACGCTAACTGCTGGTTAACTTTGAGTCTCTTTTGACCTCAATATCTTCACATGCTTAACTTTTATGTAAAATAGGAGAGCCTGATGATGGCTGAAAACTCATTAAAAGTCTGTTGTTTTGATTTAGTGGAAAGACATTTTCCTCTCAATCATTCCTGGGTATTTGGATCACAGGCTAAGAGCAACACATGGCTGTCCCCTTGCACCAACATATCCTGGATGCAACTGAAATCTTTTGCTAAGAATGAACAGCCCCTTGGCAGCTGGTATTTAATCCCAACCTGGTGATCCCTAAATACACCCTCAACTGGTGATCAACTGCTATAACCTTTTCTCATGCTCAGTGGGCATTTCTCACCTTTTGTCATACGGTCATCCTCTACGTATTTGTGAAGCGCAAGACTTTGCTTATCAATTGTGTTCTTTGGGAATATATTTGATAAGTAGGCAAAAATATTACATTGTGGAAATTCATATTTCCATAGGTTGTCTGGGCCACTGTTTGAGAACTCCTAGGTGATTTTCCTTGAGTCTACCCATTCAAGCGGTCTTGCAGAGCTAGAAAGACACAGCCTGGCAAGAAAAGGCAACTTGTGACTTGCTGGAAGTGACTCAGGTGCTGGCTCTGTGCTCCCTGAGTCACAGTTTCCCCATCACCAACACCATCAGAGGGTGTCCTGCAGACAGAGGTGGCCACCTTCCAGGCTGCCAGCTCTTTGGAGTCCTATGAGGGAATTATGCCCTTTTCTATGCCTACTGATTCTGTGCCTTAACACATGGAAAACCCTTCAGAAAGAAAAATTAGAATTGGATCATGACCAGAACAACAAACATCTGGTGAGAACCTAGTAAGTACAAAGCACTGTGCAAAGCAATCCAGACCTGATTCTTGCTCTCAGCTGATCTAACTGTTCACTAACGTCTGATGAGAGGGAAAATGGGGAAAGAAATAAGTGCATCAGGTGTTCAGGGGTAGAAACATTTGTGTTCTGGTCTGGTCCAAAAGACGAGGAAAGCAAAAAATCATTTCCAAAGGGGGAAAAGCAGTATGTACAAAGGTGCAAAGGCAGAAATGCACCAACACCTACAGACATGGATCAGAGCTGAACATGAGACACTGATGCTATCTTTGTAATCTGCATATTATCAATACATCCCAAATTTTATAAAAGGAATAATGTATCTTATTCATTTCACAAAAGTAATATGACTCAGAGTAAATAGGTAATATGTAGTTATCTTATTCCCAGATCTACATTAAAAATTGTGTCTTAGGAAATACTTTCATCAGTTGTCCATTTCCTCATCGTTTTATTCATAGTTAATATGCAACATCAGTTCCCCACATCTTTTTTTTATCTGCTTCTAAAATAAGACATCTCAGTCAATTTTAGAATTTAAGGAATATTCAATCAGAAGAGTCTTATTGTATTATCCGATTCTTCTAAAACATGAAGATTGTAGAAGAAAAGGCTAGTAAATTCTTTGCTTTAATGAAACTTTAGTGAGGAAAACAAAACATTGGCCCATGAAATTACTGAATAAACTGTTTTCTTATACCAGAGGAAGATGAACTGCAAGTGGTATTTTAGTTTAAAGTTTGGAGAGAACACAGCCTGATACGGGACACGTGAACCATACTACATGCAATGTACTTTGTACATTACTCCATTTCTCAGTCTTGGGAATAAACAAATAAGAAACTGAAGAATTGTAATGTGTATAGTCATTTCTTTGAACCAATATGCAGTATATTCACAGTGGGAAAATTCATTTGGTATGCTGTAATGATACACAGTAGATTAATGTAACAATTGTTATACATTAATTAAAAATATATATGCAAATAAATTAGTCAAACAAGTTACAATAAAAAGAAACTCAAGAGCAGATGGGGAAGAATTAATTTATGTCCATTATTCCAGACTTTATCATTGTATAAGCACCACTATTAATGCTACACAGCACTGCACCCATATAAGAGGAGTCCAGTTAGAGTCCAGCTTACCTCGTTCTCCCGGGGTCCCTGGCACACCTGCATTTCCTGGGAAGCCTGGTGTACCTGGAGGTCCTTGCTCACCAGGGGTCCCAGGCGTGCCTGGTCTCCCAGGCTCCCCAGGAGGCCCTTGGATAGTCCGGACAGATGAGGAGTGGCTGGGAATCTGGTTGAGGATGGCTGTGTACCTGGCCATGTGACCTGAAGCATAAAGACAGCATTTAGGAAACTGTCATACCAAGAAAGGGAGGACTGGGGGTCTTTTTCATTAAGGCTCTACACAGTTCTGTTAGATACTCACCAAGGGAAAAAGCACACCCCTCTGAAATATGTGAAATTCCAACTTAAAATTTTTTATATTTTACTTCAGATGATATTAACGCTGGACTGTATTCAAGTCGCATCTCATGTGTTCGGAATTCTGTAGCTCACGTCAGCATTTCAATAAACATCTTTGAGCAGAAGTCATAAATTTCCTCTTCCCCCCCAACATTTATCTGACCTCTAAACCCTCACCCAGCTGCCATTTTCTCTAAAAATTTCTCTTCAAGTTACAAATTATTTGTCCTTTTTCCAACTCACAAAGACTACCCCACCCTCTTGCTCACAAATCTTCAGACAAGTGCTCCGTCTAAACTCCTCTTACTTGCCAAGCCTTTTTTTCAGGAATCTTTACTTGGGTCTCTGCAGAAATTTCCACTAGCTTTATAAAATAAGAAAAAGAAAGAAAGAAAAGCCTGGCTCTCTCTCCCGCAGTTCCTTACCTCGGTTATGCCTGGAAAAATGTACTTTAATTATTAGAAATATAGACTTATAAAGTACGTGGTACCATTATGACTCATTTTACCAGCATTGTCAATGAGACTTCGTTACATAAATGAATTTGCTAGATGACTATATATTTTTTTATGTCCAATGGCATGTGTGCTCACCAGAGAAAGAGCAAGTGAAAGCAACCCTCCGATAGCACATGGCCATGGCACAATCCCTTGTCCTCTATCCCTCCATACTATCAGGATTTTGGGCACACACAAATGCGCACATGTTTTTCAAGCAGCAAGGGCCAGGACTTGAACTGTGGTCAGCTATGTGGGGTCTGAAACCCTATGCACAGGGCTTAAACACTGCATGACAGGGCTGGCCCCTTGATGATTATTATCCTTTTGCAAATATGTAAATCTAAATAAAAATTAGTGAGTGATCACTTTTTTTAAAAAACAAGAATTACTTATTTAATTAATTTACTATTGGGACTAGCAGATGGTATAGGGGTTACGTTGCTGGACTCCCACGTAATCAACCATGATTCAAGTCGCAGACATGATGGCTTAAAACTCATGTTGGGTGCGTGCATACCCAAGGTCCCAAGAGGAGAATGGAGGAGATGGGATTGCAGCATGACCCTCCCCCCTGGGGGTGATTTCTTGCTTTCTGTCTCTCTGGAGAGCACACATGCCCTATGGTAAAAATCTCTCTTAAAATTTTATTTATTGTTATTATAATTTTAATTTAACCAGAGATAGACAGAGAGAAAGTGAGAAAGCAAGCTTGCCAGGGCTGTGTCTCGAACCACAATCGATCACATAGGGGTCCAGCATCTTAACCACCACAGCACCTGCTGGCCCCATGACCACTTTTTGAGGAATGATTTAAAAAATACATTTGGTGCATACTTTCCTTAAGGATTAGGCTGTGACTGTAACCAGAGCTCCTCTCTTAAGAGTGAAGAGTTATCAGTAGGCAGGACCATTGTTGTTTGGGAGGGGAGGACTTTTCCACAGCTGCTTTTTCAGCTTCCTCCTTTGACAAGGGGGCTGTCCTTTACCCCTCTTCCAGTTGTCATCACTTCGTTCTCACACAGCTTTCCTATAACCCTTGCTAGTACAACTCTGAGAACTGAAACCAGATAACTGAGCTTGTAAGGAATTATATGCTTAATGATAAATCAAGTTCTGGTTGGAAGCCTAGGGAATAAAATAGGGAGCCCAGAAAAAAACTGAAGTGGTATTTAAGAACATCAAGGTTAAAGTGCCAGAAATAAAGCCTTTGAACAAATTGGGCCCTACTAATCAAGTTGCATGCAATCTCTTTGATTTCTTTCTCCTACAACTGCATTGATAGGCACGGCTTCCCTGTTTTGCAGACTTGCTTAAGCTTTCTTGTCTAACCTCCTGTTGCTTCCACTTCCTAGAATTTATTCACTGGAATCTGAAAATTCCTAAGGGAAAACATTTCATTTCAAACTTTCAATAAAAAAAGAGTAATTTATTTATTTTTTCCAAGAGAAAGCAAGAGAGAGAAGGAGAGAGGAGAGATACCCCCGGCAAGGTCTTCATGCCATGATCTCCCTTCAGGCTCAGTCAACCAGGATCACTGATGTGTGTGTGTGAGCCCCGTGGGTACAAGAACTTGGGATGTGGAGCTGGGACGTGGCCATGTGGCTTCAGTATCATGGAGCTCTGTGTCACCATGGCGGGCCTGAGCCCTCAATGTGTAGGACACGTGTTAAATAGCTATATGATTACATGATATTTTATTCCCCAGTGAAATAAGGCAGCAAATATTGTGAAATTTTCAAGTTGTGGTCAGTGAATCATATCAAGATTTAAACTTTTAAACTTGAGGTTTCTTAAAATAATAATCCACTTGCTTATACTGTACACTTGAAATGAGAAACCTGCTAAATAATCCAAGAAACGGGTAACCTTTGGATGCATTCTACTACAAAAGCAACTATTATTTAATTTCCCTCTTATAATTTATTGTGTGTATGTATTTTAAGGTTTTGTTTTGTTTTGTTTTGTTTTGCCACAGGGCACATGTGCTCACTGGAGAGAGAGACAGAGGGAAAGTGAGAAATCACTCCCTGGGGGGACCTATTTGCTGGATCCCCCCAGGGATCCCTTCTCCTAAGGAGTAAGGAAAGGACTTTAGGAAACCAAAAGATAACAGATGTGAAGTGAATAACTTCAATCTTGTGAGTTAGTAGCAATCAACACCAGGAGTCATCTTTCTGAAGGTAGCTTCTAAAAATGTAGTCTGGCAGCTTATGAGTACTGAGTACTTGAGAAAAAAAGAAAAAAAAAAACCTATCTATTTGGAAACAGGAAAGGAATAAAGGACTGGGTGGTCAAGTTAAACCTATATGGATAGTTCTCAAACCAATGGCACAGAATATTTGGTTTTCTGTACCACCGATAGCTAGATCTAGGGTCATCTCTTAGATGGATCAGTGATGGTCATTTGTAAAACAGCCGTGTCCGTATCGAGACAGAGCTTTAGAGCTTTCCTTAGTTGTTACACTCATGGGAAAGGCAAACTCCCATTGGGATGAGTGATGGGTGACAACTTCTGTAACAGTAACGCACTTACTCTGAATGAGCTGTTCACATACTTGGCGGGCCACTGCTCGCACCATGGCTTGTGACTGCAGGTCACCCTGAATGAGAAAAAAAATAAATAAAAACAAAACACTCCTGACTCTCTGCTACAGCTCAGCCACATAGCCTGGACTTCCAGGATGTAGGTCTGTTTTGATCCACTGTTCCCAACAGGGCCCTTTGGCTCTTAGTAACAGGTAGAGGTTGACCACCAGGGTGCATGCAGGTTTGTAGGCAATTTTACACTCCTGGTTCAAGACTCCTGGGAATCCTTATGAGATTAAAAAGCTGAAGTAAGTATTTCTGGTCTGGTAATTTGAAACATTTAATCATTTCAAAATAAACTCGTATACATTTAATGCCCTATTTATAGCTCTTTAGAGCTTATAAAATATAGCACTTTCTCAGGCCATTGCTTATTTAATACTCACAGCTCAGAGGAAAGATGTTAAGCCCATTTTATAGCTGAACAGCACTAAACACATTGCCCAAGTTTTCACAGAGGTAACTGTATGAGCCTAAGGTCATTACTGTTTGGACTACAGCAGTTGAAAAATTCCTGAAAGGACAAGTGAAGGCCCCTAAATTAAATGATTGAACTTCTGTAGCCAGTTTTTTGATTCCGTGCCTGATATTGTGTTCCTGGGTGCCAATATTGGAACATCAAGAAACATAGGAGTCCCATTTTACTACTTGCCATTCATAGAGAGTTTTTGCATTTCTGAAGCCCTTTCATATCCATTACATAATTTTTTTCACCAAATCCACTTTGTGAATTAGATTAATTTGATGCTCCCTGTTTTTAAATTTTAACTTTGATTGTTATAAAGCAAAAAACTATAGAACATTTTTTTAACAGAGAACTTTAGATTCTCTTGTCTGTTACATGTTTCTTCCCTTTGCCCCTTCCACCCACCTCTTCCACCCACCCTCTACCACCCACTCCCCTCCCTTACAATTCCTGGTATCCACACTTATCCTCTCTACCTTTATATTATCCTTAAAGAAACGACCCCAAGATTAATAAGATGACTGGTAGCAGATTTGCAACCAGAAACTAGCTCTCCTATCTTCTAGCCTGTAGGGGTTTGTCCACTGGAAAGAATGCACACAGTGAAATGAGCAGGAGAGCGGGAAGAAGGACTGGTGGAATACAGTGAGTAAGCATGGCAATAAGTGGCCACCCTGGATCAGGCTCATGCAATGGAAGGTGTACAACCAGCTGGGGCCAGTGCACAGAGCCACAAGGCACTTACTCGTTCTCCTCGTTCTCCCTTTGCTCCAGGAACACCCTGTCAATAAGAAAGGAAAATTATAAAGTTACTTATGATACTGCACTCAGCCAAGAGTAACAATATTGATAGTACATCTCTTCTAATTTTACTAAGGAGTTTTTCTTTTTCTTTTTTTTTTCTTTAAGAGAGTTTTTTGCTATAGGGCATGTGTGTTCACCAAAGAGACAGAAAGACAGAAAGCAAGAAATCCCCCGCCCTGGGGGAATGACCACACCACAATCTCTTCTCCTCCATTCTCCTCTCGGGATATTGGGCATGCACACACATGTGCCTGGCATGAGTTTTAAGCCACCGGGTCCAGGACTCAAACAGCAGTCTACTATGTGGGAGTCTGGTGACATAGCCATTACACCATCTGCTGGTCCCATGATCTTTATCTTAACCCTAGCAATTCTGCAGCAAAAATACTTATGCAACAATAAGAACAAAACAGCTAACAAGCTATAATCCCACAAACATAACTAATTCTTTTAAGCATTTTATCCCTCCAGCATTTTTATGCAGAAACATGATAAATTTTGACTACAAAATTCGTCACGCAGTAATAATGTCTTAAAACACACATTTTCACTGACCAGGTCCTTCACATCTTTTCACATTAAACTCCACTCTACACAATGCAGTCTACTGATGCTTAAATTACTTCATAAACCTCCACCGAACAGTGAAATTGTTTCAGCTTTTAAGGCAATGTTCTAAAAGGGAGGAAAAGATCCTCTCTCAATCTAGGAGTTCAAGTAAGAGGTGAGATGAGTGAAACCCCAGAGCTTTACTCTGCTTTCTATGCAGCATGGCTGAGGGTTCTCCCTGATTGTCCCCAACATGGGAGCTCATATTTTTAATGAATTCCTAGCTGACTTGCTCTTTTATAATGTGATTTAGCTACCATATGACCCATCAGATACTTTACTATTACTTTTAAGAATTTACTGAAAAGAACAATGGCCTTTCAGTTTCTGCAATAAAATTACAGTTATAATGCAAAACATGTGTCTTCATAAGGTTTTCCTATTTTTGTTTCAATTCTGAGGCAATGTTCATTGAACAACATTTTTATGGTCACTACTAAAAGGAGAATGCATGGAATTTATAGATGAAACCTGCCACGTTGTCACACTGTTCCTAGTAGTTACTTCAATTTCAACAGATCCCACAGCAAACTCAGTATCATTTTCAAAATCTCTATTACTTAAGAATCACTTATTCTCAAAATTCTGAGTTCATCTCTGGTGTGCAAGCAAATTGGCTTTCCTTACAGAAAAATACCCTGACTTATTGTGTTTACTGATTTCAGAGGTGCAGATGCTGTGAACACACAGGTGACTTCAAGCTACGGATGTGCTGTCACTACAGCTCGAGTGGGGAGGAGAAGAGAAGCACACAGTTGACTCCTGGGCAGATGCAGGCAGCCCGCCACGGGTTCTACCTCTTTGTCTCTTCTACACACACACATACACAGGCAAACACACATACAGAGGCGAACACACACAGAGGCGAACACACACACACACACAGGCAAACACACACACACACATATACACACACACAGACACACACACACACAGGCAAACACATACATAAAGAGGCAAACACACACACACATTTTTCAAAAACTGCCAGAGGGCACATGCACTTGTTAGACAGAAACAGAAAAACAAAGAGGAGTGAATGCGGGAGAAAGCCCTCACTAGGACATGGTCATGCTGCAATTCCTTCTCCTCCATTTCCTCACTGTGTTGGCTCTTGGGGGCATGCATGCACATGTGCCCAGTTTGTTTTCCAAGCCACAGGGCTGCCATTTGAACTGATGATGTGGGATCTAACTCCTTTATCAACACGCCACAGAGCTGGCCCAACCCGTCATATTTTTGTTTCTAAAGAATTATTTATTTAATTCTAATATTTTTTTATTATTATTTAATTTGCCGTCTGGCACATGCACTCACCAGAGAGAAACAGAGAAAGAGAGAGAGAATGAGAACACACTGCCAGGCCTGGGACTCAAACTGTGGTTGGCCATGTGGGAATCCATCCTTCAAACACCATGCCACCTGATGGCCCCCCAAGTCATATTTTAAAATATGTTTTTTCTCGGGGCCACAGGTGGCATGGTGGTTAAGGGTGCTAGACTCCCACATGGCCGACCGTCGTTCAAATCTCAGTCCTAGTGGTTTACTTTCTTTCTCTCTCTCTCTCACTCTGTCCCTTGCTGGTCAAATTAAAATAAATAAGTAAGTTAAACAAAATAATTCTTAAAAAATATGCTTTTTCTAAAATAATTTTATTTCTGCACCAATACACTTTTGGACATTTCCATTGCTATCACTTATTAAAATGGCTCATTTGAGAATGTTTCTCATTTAAAGAAAGAATTTACAGAGGAAACTTGATGGGTTCAGTAAATGGACAGCCTTAGCTATTGGCACTTACTGGTATGTAAGGATGGATGTGTTTAATTGGGCTTGAAATTCCACAAACTCAGTCTCAGATGCTTGTTATTAAGTAGCTAAAGGACAGAGTGAGGCAGTTTCAGTGAAAGATCTTTTTAGTGAAATATCTGTACAGCAAGAAATAATTTTTTGTTCCAACTACTCTGACATCTTTCCTTTGATTTTTGCAAAGTAAAACAAAAACAAAATCAAAATTCCTAAGCAAGTGAAGGCCCGTAACTCCACTAAAGTATGCTTTGAGGAAAAACACATATTCCCTGTAGATGTAGGCAGCAAAAGTCGCACATTTTCCTTAAATTTCAGGAACACTTGAAATGTAAAGAAAAGAAAATACAGTAGCTACATTCATACATTCGGAGAGTTTTAGTGCTGAAAGGAAGAGGAATGAGCCAGTGGGCCACGTCTCCCATATTAAAAATGTCTGTTAAATAAAATTGAAACACTTTAAGCTGCCTTTAAAGGTCTTCAATGACCTGATCTCTAAGAATAATCTTCCAGGGGCCAGCAAATGGCTCATGGTTGGGATGCTGGACTTCCACATGGCCAACCATGGTTCAAGTCTTGAATCTGGTGGCTGGCTTTCTCACTTTCTCTCTTTCTCGCTCTCTCTCTCTCTGGTGAGCACATGTGCAATATAGCAAATTAAATAATAATAATAAAATTTAATAAATAATTCTATTTTTTTCTTTTTTTTGGGGGGGAAAGGTTTTTGCTATAGGGCGCATGCGCTTGCCAGACAGACAGAGAAAGACAGAGAGACAGAAAGCGAGAAATCACCCCCCAGGGGGGATGGCCACGCCACAATCCCTTCTCTTCCATTCTTCTCTTGGGCATGCACGCACACGCACCTGGCGTGAGTTTTAAGCCACCGGGTCCAGGACGTGAGCCGTGGCCGACTACATGAGAGTCCAGTGACATAGCCATTACGCTAACTGCTGGTCCCGAATTTAATAAATAATTCTTTAAAAAAAAAAACAATAATCTTCTAATACTCCCCTGGACATCAGTCTAATTAAAAGACAAACATGCATTCTTCATTTTTTTTTTTTTTAACAAATGTGCATTAAACACTCTGTATGCATCGGCCACTGAGCTATGGTCTAGGAATACAAACATGAGACATGAGTATGATGAAAACTTCTTTCTTCAAGGACTTATCACTTTAATGGAGGGACAGACATCAACGGTTGCAGTGAAGTATCTATCTGCCTATGGAGGAAAGGGTAGCTCTACCTAGGAGGTATGTAGCTAAAGATCTCCTAGTAGTAGAGAGATGAAGAATGATTACTAAGGCTGGGAATGATAGGAGAGATGGGGGATAGAGAGAGGAATGCTGATTAACAGAAACAAAAGACAGGAGGAACAATTTCTAGTCTTACTAAAAAAATAAAGAAAAAACAATAAGGAGGGTATAGTTAACAACAACCTACTATGTATCTCAAAAGTAACTACAAAGTGGAGTTGTTAATGTTTCTAACACAAGTAATGACAAATGGTTGAGATAATGGGAATGCTAAATGCCGTGGTTTAATCATTATGCATTGTATTCTTGTACTGAAAAATCAGCGTAGTCCCATAAATAGGTACAAGTACTAAATGTTAATTTAAAAAATTGTGTGCAGTTCTTAAAATGAAAAAGGAAATAAAGAAAAGGAAGGTGGGAGGAAGGGGAGGGAGAGATAGAAAGAGAAGGGAGAAAGGATGGAAGGAAGAAAAGAATGAGAAAAGAAGGAAAGAAAGAATTGCCCAGAGTTCACCTGGTGGTGAAAGAAGAAGAAAGCACCCCAAACAGGTGGAAGAGCATCCCCAAAAAGTAAAAGAAGAGTGAAAGCGTATGACCTATACTTGAGGAGTTCAATACAGTTTTGTATGACTCTACTCCAAGTGAACAGATGATGGTAGACCAAGTGAGAGAGGAAAGTGAGGGCTCATTTTGAGAGGTCATGCACATGACACTGAATATTCAAGACCCGTCCACTGGTGGTGGGAATCTGGGGAGGAGATGAAGGCCAACGAGTGACAGATACATCAGAGTCATTTCGACGGCTAGAGAATGAACTAGACCAGGGTAGAACAGAGGCCAGAGGGTCAATGAGGCAATGTCTTGTGAAAGCCTTGGTGAGAAATTAGAAGGGCCTGAAATAACATTGTCACAGTGATGAGAGAGCTAAAGAAAGACTACAAAATTGTTAAAGTGTACAAAAGACAGGAGCTGCTCGGTATTCACCCCATGTTTTATTACAATGCGCCCTCCTCCACCCAGTAATGCCATCATCCTGTCTTTGTGGGATCTCATTGAAATACTGCACCCTTCTGGAGCAGTCCACTCCCAGTCCCTCAGCTTAGTGTGTGTCTCTCTCAATATAACTTTAACAGACACTTGCTGTCTTTCCTTGAAGGCATTTCTCACTTTCTGCCTTTTATTATAACTGCTTATATAAAAACATTGTTCTGTCTAGATTTTCCACAAATATGGAAAAACGCCTTGCTCATCTTTTGTATCCCTCACAACGCCTCTCGACTCTGTAATCTTGTACATATTGTGCTTATCTCCTAAATATTTTTTAAGTCCATTTGTTTCTTCCATGAGAGAGAAAGACACAGAGAGGGAGAGAGAAGAGACTGACTGACTGGCACTGGCATTCCTACTCAGGTCTTCACTCCCCTGGCTCAGCTGACCCAGATCATGCACATGCATGTGTCTATGTTTCTGGTGTGTTCAGGGAGGTCCCAGGATGTGAACTCAGAACCTGTTCCATTGTGAGTCCAGTTATCTTACTATCTTGCCACCATCTGATTCCAATTTTAAATGAATGAATGAAGAAACTGATTTGCTTCAAGTGATATGACTCACACAGTTGGGTAACCGTGTCATGTCAGGACCACTTTTTAAATATAGGCAGCCCCACTTCAAATGAAGAGCTCTGTACATGATGTAACACAGGACTTTTCTATGTATGTTGAGGTTAAGCAATATTGGGGACAAATATTGTTGTTCCCAACAATAAGCAGCCTGGTCTTTCATATGCTTCATCATGTGTCTGCCCCGCTGTAGGGAAGGTTCATATTTAAACCAATACTTAAAACTCTTAGGTCAGAAATAGTATCTCAGCAGCAGCAATGCACATGCCACCCCAGGGAGTCAGTGGCTAAATGCAGAGTTCAGGAAAGCAAGCATTTCTGGCACTAATGATAGGAAACATGTTGTTATTTTCAGTGGCACAGTCTGCCTGTCTT